TTTTTTAAAAAAATAGTGATAATAATGACAATAATAATAATTGTTGGCAATTACTGAATGCTTGCCGTATGTCAAGTACCTTACATTTAAGGGCGCCCAGGTGGCTCAGTCGGGGTTGAGCGTCTGACTCTTGATTTTGACTTAGGTCATGACCTCAGGGTCATGAGATCGAGCCCCATGTCGGGCTCCACACTCATCGGGGAGTCTGCTTGAGATTCTCTCCCTCTCTCCCCCTGCACCCCCCACCACGTGCACGATCTCTCGTTCTCTCTCTAAAATAATAAATAAATCTTTGGAAAAAAAAAGAACCTTACGTTTAATCTTCACAACAACTTTCTGCCATAGGTTCTAATTATAATTCTCCTTTTTCACTAACTAGGAACTCTTGGCTAACTCAAAGACACCTCTGATTTAAATGTTCAAAATTGAGGTCATGATTCTCACCCCACGTCCTGACCTTTTCCATTGTTCCTCATCTCTGAATGACCGCACTATCATGTAGTTGGACAAACCCCAAACCTAAAGAAAGATGTTCCTTTCCATCATCTTCTCTCTCCATTAACATGTATTCGGATCCTGGTAACAAAATCCATCTAACAGTGATTTGGGGTAAAAATAAAGGAAATCATCTCACAAACAAGTCTACAGTTATTCTAAAGAGTTGGTGGAACAGGGGCATTATTGAGGCCAGGCCCTTTCTTCCTTCAACCCTGTGGACCTCAGCATGTCCACTTCTGTCCTCAAGCTTGTTGTCTCATGATCGAAGGTGGGGCCTCAATTCCAGGCAGAGTCTGTATTGCTTGTTCTTCTTAAATGCTTATTGTGGTGAAATTCACATAACATATAGCAAACCACTTTAAAATGTACAATTCAGTGGCATTTAGTGCAGTGTACCCACCAGCTATCTTTAGTTTCAAAACCTTGTCATCACCCCAGAAGAACACACCATTACCCACTGAGTAATTACTCCCCTTGTGCCCCCACCCTCATCCCCTGACAACTTCTAATCTTTCTGTCCCTATGGATTTGTCTATTTTGGACATTTCATTTTAAAAAATTAAACAATATGTGACCTTTTTTGTCTGGCTGCTTTTACTTAGTGTAGTTTTTGAGGTTCATACAAGTTTTTTTTTTTTTTTTAAAGATTTTATTTATTCATTCGACAGAGAGACACAGAGAGAGAGGGAACACAAGCGGGGAAGTGGGAGAGGGAGAAGCAGGCTTCCCACAGAGCAGGGAGCCCGATGCGGGGCTCGATCCCAGGACCCTGAGATCATGACCTGAGCCGAAGGCAGACGCTTAACAGACTGAGCCACTCAGGCGCCCCGAGGTTCATACAAGTTTAAGATGTATCAATACTTCACTCCTTTTCATAGCTGATAATATTATATTATATATACAATTTGTTTATCCATTCATCTGCTGATAGACATTTGGGTTGTTTGTACCTATTGGCCATTGTGAATTGTGCTTATTTTTTTCTTTTTAAAAAAATTAATTTTTTAAATTCCAGTGTAGTTAACATACAGTGTTATATTAGTTTCAGGTGCCCAGTGTAGTGATTCAACACTTCTGTACATTACTCAGTGCTCATCATGATTAAGTGTACTCTTAATCCCCTTTACCTATTTCACCCATCCCCCACCTACCTCCCCTCTGGCAACTACCAGTTTGTTCTCTATCTTTAAGAGTCTGTTACTTCTTGAATTCCACATATGAGTGAAATCATATGGTATTTGTCTCTCTGACTGACTTACTTCACCTAGCATTATCCTCTCAATCCATCCATGTTGTTGTATATGGCAAGAATTGTGCTGTTATGAACATACATGAACACATATCTGTTTGCATACCTGTTTTCAATTCTTTTGAGCACATACCTAGGAGTAGAATTAGTGGGTCATATGGTTTACTGTTTTTTTGAGGAACTGCCAAACTATTTTCAACAATGGCTGCATCATTTTACATTCCTACCAGCAATGTACGAGGGTTCCTATTTCACTATAGCCTCTAGAACACTTACTTCCATAAAAAAATTATTCTAGCCTCCATAGTGAGTGGGAAATGGTATCTTACTATGGTTTTGATTTGCATTTCCTATTGACCAGTGATGTTGAACATCTTTTCATGTGTTTGTTGGCCACTTGTTAATCTTTGGGAAAATGTCTAAAATTACTAAAGTCCTTTGTCCATCCTTTAATTGGGTTGTTTGTCATTTTGTTGTTGTTGAGTTGCAAGTTTCTTACATAGAATGGGCACCAAATCTCCATCATCTATATGATTTGCAAACATCTTCTCTCATTCTGTAGATTGTCCTCCCACTGTCTTGATGATGTCCCTTGTTGCACAAAAGTTTTGAATTTTTAAGAGGTCTAATTTATTTATTTTTTTGTGCTCAGGCTGTGGCGTCTAATTCAAGAATCCATTGTTGAAGGCAGGGTCATGAAGATTTGCCTCTGTGTTCTCCTTTAATAGTTTTAGTTTTAGCTGCAATATTTAGGTCATTGATCTATCCTTAGTTTTTGTATGTGAAGTTGAGGTCCAACTTCATTTCTCTGAGTGTGTTTATCTAGTTGTCCTAGCACCATTTATTGAAGAGACTGTTCTTTTCCCGTTTTAAGTATCCTGGCACCCTAGTCAAAAATGTATGGTCCATAGATGTTTGTGCCTATCCCTGGACTCTCTCCTTCACTCTGTTGACCGCAATCTAACCTTCTGCTAATAACACTATGCTGTTTTGATTACTGAAGTTTTGTAGTAAGTTCTGAAATAAGGAAGTGGGAGGCCTCCAACTTTGTTTTTCTTTCCAATATTGTTGTGGCTATTTGGGGCTTTTTGCAATTCCATGTACATTTGAAGATTGATGTTTCCATGTCTGCAATAAAAGTCGGAATTTTGATAGGAATTGCATTCAGTCTGTAGATTGCTTTGGGGAGTATTGTCATATTAATATCCAGTCTTCCAGTTGATGAACATGGGATGCCTTCCCATTTATCTTCCCATTGCATCTTCTTTGATTTCTTTCAGCAGTGTTTGTAGTTGTCACTGTGCAAGGCCTTCACTTCCTTGGTTAAATATATTCCTGGGGGTTTTATTCTTTTGGATGCTGTTCTAAGTGGAATGGTTCTCTTAATTTTCTTTTCACAATTCTTGTTGCTGGTATATAGAAACACAGCTGATTTTTGTGTATTGATCTTGTACCATGCAATTTTGCTTAATTTGTTTATTAGCTCTCATAGTGCTTTTGTGGATTCATTGGGATTTTCTGTATGTAAATCAAGGTTGTGTAAAGCAAGGTTGTTGATTGGAGATCTTTCTTCTGTTTTAATATAGGCATTTACTACCCATTACCCTCTGAGTACTGCTTTCACTGCCCCTCATTGGTTTTATTATGTCTGTTTTTATTTCAGAATATCTTCTGATTTTCCTAGTGATTCTTCTTTGATCCACTGGTTGTTTAAGGTTATGTTGTTTAATTTCCACATACTTGTGATTTTTAGATGCTGCAAGTGCCTAACTAGACTTTAGAGTTCTGAAATAGGGATTCTGACAGTTCTTGCCAGCTCAGTAGCTGTTTTGGTGTAGGGCCTGATTCCTGGAGCTTCCTACTGTGCCATTTTCTGTGATGTCACTTGTATTTATTTTTGTTGAGGTAACAGTGTCAATATTAAAATGTCGTACTAGCATATTAAAAAAAAATTGTTTAAGTGAAGCTGCTATGGATATAAATGGTGTATGTATGGAATTACTCTTTACAAATTATTTGCCATTACATCTGTCCCTCTCATAAATTAGGATAGTTGAACAAGAAGATGAAATTTTTGCATGTATATGTAGTTTCATCACTGTATATCACTACATTTTATCTTGCGGCTGTGCGGAGAAAATGGCATTTCTTTATTGTATCTGTAGTTAGTCTTGTTTTTCTCTTTCTATTCCATACAGGAGGAGACCCATTGATTAGCTAGGGGAAAAATCCAATACAATTTAAAACTTAGTCTAGTACAATGACTTAAATAGTGTGAGATAAAGATACTCAGTCTTTGTCTGCTTTTTACCCTGGATGATTTAAGTGTTTGGGGTGAGGGATGTGGCCTATATCATCTCCCACCAGTGGGGAACTGCTTGTTTCCCTTGGTTTGATTTCTGCTACCTCCTTTGGCCTCTGGAAGAATGTTCCATTACCTTCTAGATGTGTTTGCCTTGCTGGTCTGTGCAGATGATGTCATGGCTAGTGTAACTCATGGTGGGGCCTTTCTGGTTGGTGAGAACCTAGTGGTGCTCCCTGACTGCTTCATTTTCTCTCTGGCTCCTTCTCTCTGAGCTCCTCTGGGTCTCTTCCATGTCTGTATCTGGGCCTACTGGCCCGGAACTTCATCCACAGCCTTTGCTGCAGGATTTCCAGGTTCCATCTGGGCCCATTGGTCAGCCTTCTAGCTCAGGAATCTGAGTCTCAGAGTTTACATTACCTGACCATGACTGGAAAAACCCTCTCTCAAGGCAATGGCATGGCCTGTGAGACTATGAATTTACTGTGTAACCCTTCTGCGTATGTAAGATGCTTCATTTTATCTCTTCACACTTCCTTTACTAGTAAAACCTAACAACTCCCTGGACAGATGAATGCTTCCAGCAGACTAAGGCAAAGGTCACAAACTTGGACACGCAAAACAACAACAAAAGTAGTAATTTTCAAACACTTTCACTGTTGCATGTGTGTACGTAGACATATGTGAGGATAATACTTCAAGAGTAATGTAATTCTAAGTGTACACAAGCCTTAAATTTAAGGAATATACAATCTATGAAGAGGCATAAGTGGTGTGCATATATATATTTATATATAAGTAAATATTTATAGTTGAGATCTATATGTATATAAAATATATATAGTTAAGATGTATATAGTTAAAGTCAAGAGGTTTGGTTTCTGTCTGTCAACATTTTCCTATGACTAAAAACGCTGTGATTGTTAACACACATATTTTTTCCTTTTGCAGGACCGTTCGTGTATGGCTAAAGAGAGACAGTGGACAATATTGGCCAAGCATATACCAAGTGATGCCTTGTAAGTATCTGGATCTCGGTCTTTAAAAATCAGACATGGACCCTACCTCCCCTTCCTTTCCAGATTGCCTTCTCTGTATTTTCTTCTTGAGTAGGGATGTCTGAGGGTTGGGATTATCATTATAATGGAAAGTACCATATTCAATCATTTTAGCTCTCAGTATGTAAAATAAGAAAATTATTCTGACATTGACTATATATTCATAGTTTCTGAATAAGATTAATGGAAGAAGGACTACAGCACACAGGCTCTCTGATTACAGCTGTCCCCCTCTTTTCCAACTTTTTATTTAACTTTTTTTGTGGAGTACTTCCTTCAACATTTAAAATTTTGCCCAGTGATTACATTTGTGAAGTAAGTTTGTTCTTGCGTTTTTGTTATGTTAGTCATTCAGATATAAGACAGTCAGCTTGATGATTTAGTTCTCACAAGGATTTGCTTAAGATTGAAACATTCTAATTGGAGGTTAATCTCATTTTCTCAAGCTCTTATATGAGAAATATGTCCTTGTGCTGATAGCTAATCTTTGAAATATATTTAAAAATATATATATATGACTGATTCTTAGATTGGTGTGCTGGCAGAAGTTCTCCTACAGAGAGAGAAGAGCTGGCTCCTCAAAATAGGAAATTTCTTTTTAGTCTGATGTTTTATTGTTAAAAATTAGTGAAGGTTGGGCATCCTGTTCTGTGTTTATTTGAGTATAAGATAATTATTTAAATTTATTATTAGTTATATTAGTAAACATTTCTCTGACTCCCCTTCCTTCAAATCTTAATTAAAATTGACACCCTAGAAAAATCCCTCAGGTTTGTTGTTTGGGCCCAGGTACCCTCTGGCTTGCTGCAGTGTGCACCTCTTCCCTTGATATGAGTATCCTGATTTGGGAAATATATGCCACAGTGTAGAGCCAAAATAAATTCATGCTAAATTGTAGATGTGATTACGTTTACGCCTCTGGCAACAGAATACTGTGGTAACTTAAACAGCAATTTTGCTTGTTGATGAACAAATGAATTATTAAGGATATAATGGCTTTCTGTGATTTTCAAATTATCTTTAAGGTTTTGCATATCTTTAGAATTTTATAGTAAATAAATGATAACCACGAAGCTGAACCAAGTGGTCAATCCTGCATTGGGGAAGAAGAAAATTCTTGTGATTCTTATATTGGCCCCTGACCTGTTGTGCCTCCAGCAGATGGCATTCAATAGCAAAAGGCCTAAGTGAACTTTCTCTTTAAGCTGTGGCAGTGATGAGGGCTCAGGTAAAACGAAAGGGAAAGGAATTCTCTGATGGACTGTTTTTCCTGATCTTTGAGTGATATAACCAGTCTTATCCGTGATCTTGCTTTTTTCATCAACCTTAACATGATATCTAACTAGAGGAGGTGGGGAAGGTTGGGATGTCTGTCACTCCCATGACCATGAAGACAGAGGAGAGTCAGATCTGAGCAGAATGATGAGAGCTCGGGGATGGTGAGCAAGGAATCTTCTTGAGATGAACACAAATAGGAACTTCATGGAGACACAGGATCCTAAACAATTGCTTCTCTGCCCCCTTCCCCATACACACATATCCACAAACATCAGAGAATGATGTTCTCTTTATTTGAATATCACTGAGAATACAAAGAAGCCTCTGCTTGCATTTTTATCATTTATGAAGCTGTATGAATAACTATAGGTTGCTGTAGCTCCTACACCAGGCAGAAGTGCTCAATACATAAATACTTATTGCAGACTTGAATCTGATAGTAAAGAAGAGTGCCGAGAACAGCATCGGACATTTTCCTAGTGATTGAACACAGTCTTTGAGAAGGAGTACCCTTGAATTATTTGCATATTTTGCCTATAGCCTTCTACCAAAGGGAGTGAAAAAGGCATTACTTTGCTATTAAAATGTGTTTCGACCAGTTACATTAGGGTCACGTGAGAACTTACTAGAAATGCAGATATTGGGTTCCATGCTAGATCTACTGAATCAGAATCTGCATTTTTAATAAGATGCCCAGGTGATTTGAATGTCCTTTAAAGTTTGAGAAGATTGTCTTCTGGCATTATAGGCAACATGCTGATCTGTTTACACACATTTATATGAACACATAGAAAGCCTTATGCATATATAGTATTGATTTATAAATACATAGATTTAAGTATACATTATAAGTACACATTCTCGTGGATCAAACATTTATTGTGCACTTGCTGTATACAGGCCATTGAGCTAGTTGCCAGGGTTTGCAGATGAATAAGGTGCGTATGGTCAAGGTGATTTCCATAATCTTCCATTGTTGGATGGCTACCACCACCACAGAGAGGTAAAAGAACAGAAGGCTATGTTCTTTACATAGCCTTGGCTTTTATGTTCCTAGGAATTGAATGCATTCAGATAACATAGTAGCTGATCTTTGAGCAAGAGTCCATTTTGTTTAACTTGAGAGAGGCGGGATCTTACTGCATAAGGAATTATGCTATATTTTTGGACAGTTAGAAAACCTGAAATAGCTTTGAATTTCCAAAGGATTGTTTTACATTTCTTTCTATTGAAAGGTGTTTTGTTAAGAGATTACTTAGTCCTTAAATAACGGTTCTGTGGTATTAGTTAAAAATAAGTAGAAAGGTACAGGATATCTGGAGGCTATGACATGGACATCACAAGGCAGATATGACCATATGATGTGTTTATAGTGGTATATAATAAGTAATATTCCAAATCCAGAAGAGAACATAAAGAAAATATCTTATACATGTAATATATGGCTTATTTGTTTATTTTGTTTATTAAAATACCTTTTGGTATAATATTTGTCATGTTCAGGGTAGGATAGTAATGTTTTGTAGCGTTGAGAAGAATTTGAAGTTTCACGGACAGGAAGAAGCAGAAGGCATTAGATGAGAAGGAATGAATGGTGAAGGCTAAGTGTGATGGTTGGGAGTGAGCCTGAAAGGTGGGTAAATGTGAGAAGGCTGGATGAATTTAGGGTGTGGTAGACAAGAGAAGGATAAGGAGCAGACACATCATGATCAAAAACACATCTGCTTTGGGTGTGTGCCCTCATACCCTGTGTTTTCTGAGAAGCTCCCGCTTCCCCTTTAGGAGGGAACCAGGAGAGACCAGACTTGCCTGGTTAAGACTATTGGCTCCTGAGCCAACCTTATTTTCCCAGGATTTAGAATTTGAAGTAGGAAGTGCTTGTTTCAAACCTCAGCTGGTCCCTTGAGCTGGGAACATGTAAACCTTAGAGCTGTGAGGTATTTAAGTGCGTAAAGAAACAGTGAAAGCTGATCCACTTAAAAGGAAGTATGAATCAGAGAGGAAGGGCCACTTGGCTCTAGAGAGAGAGAAACCTAAGCAGGTGATACCTGGAGGTTTTTGTTCTCCTCCCCCTGATCTCCAGAAGCCTGGCTCTGCTCCTGCCTTTGAATTCAAGAGATATGTCCATTAGTGCTTACATTCACTCCAATGGGTTTCTGTTCCTCCCAACTGCAAGTTTCTGACACGGCCTAGCCTTGATTGTATACCTCCCAATTCCTGTCTGTTCAGTTTCTCCAGGGTCTCTCTGATCTTTAAAGAGAAAAGACTGAGCCGTGTCCCAATTGATGCCACTGTGATGTTGAGCTGAAAATAGTCTGGGATGAGTGAGGGCAAGTAAAGAAGAAAAGCAGAAAGAAATATTTATCCTGTTTAATTTCTGTGGACAGTTCATTCAACAAATTTTAAAAGTTTCTTCCATACTTGGGGCGCCTGGGTGGCTCAGTCGGTTAAGTGACTGCCTTCGGCTCAGGTCATGATCCTGGAGTCCCTGGATCGAGTCCCGCATCGGGCTCCCTGCTCAGCAGGGAGTCTGCTTCTCCCTCTGACCCTCCCCCCTCTTGTACTCTCTCTCTCATTCTCTATCTCTCAAATAAATAAATAAAATCTTAAAAAAAAAAAAGTTTCTTCCATACTCAACACTGTGCAGTGTCCCAAGGATATAGTGGTTAAGTAGGGCAGATGATTCCTGTCTTCATGGTGTGTACAGTCTGATGGGGAAGGCAGACTTAAAATAAGCACTACTCATGCTGTGTGCTGAGTGTTATAATGGGAAAGAAACAGGCGTCATGGGAACATGGTCACAAAGGTTCCCTGAAGAAAGCCCCATTTAAAACCCTGCTGTCGGGGCGCCTGGGTGGCTTAGTCGTTAAGTTGAGCCCCACGTCAGGCTCCCTGCTCAGTGGGAAGCCTGCTTCTCCCTCTCCCACTCCCCCTGCTTGTGTTCCCTCTCTTGCTATGTCTTTCTCTGTGTAAAAATAAATAAATAAAATCTTGGAAAAAAAAAAACAACTCTGTTGTCTATAGAGAATTTGGGGTGATTGATGACTTGTTTTGTAGTTTCCTGTGTGCCACTGTTTATGGATGAGTGAGAAATAAGAGCATTTCCCTATCTAATATTCTTTCCAAAAATCCTATCTTCTTGACGTATCTTGTGTGATAGCTGCTTATTGCCTATGACAAGATCAAGTTACAGCATACCCAACTGGGACCTGCTTGAGCTTGGAAACCAGGGAGGGTTCTTTCTGAGGGTATAGAGCTGAGGTTTCAGTTGTAGCCATAAATGATTATTTGTTCCAGGCTTCTAATAGATACCATTTCAACCACCACATTTGCATCTCTCTACAGAGGGAAAAAAAACATGAAAAGCGTAGGCATTCCCATTTTCATGATTGAGTTATTTTAGATTTACTTTTTAAACTAGGTTTGCCATTCATGGGGTCAAACAAAGGGATGGAGGAGAGAAATCTCAAGCAGAAGCCAGGGTGGCAGGTGTTTGAGATTTTACTTAGTGTATTAAAGTATTGGGTATCATGTATGGGCTTTTCCCCTTGGGCATGGAGAATAGGGGAAAGCAACTTGGCTGCCAAAGATGTAGTGACTAGGAAGGAGGTTAAGAGGCCCAGAGCCTCAGGACTGAGGGTGTGCTGGACAATTGGAAAACCTCTGTGGGTTCTGTAGTTGGC